CGGTAAGATCCTTTAAAGGTTCCGGTTTTTTTTATTCGTTTTTTTGAAACTTTCAACACATTTGCAAACTTTTTGTCATCTACCGAATCTTTTTTTGAGGTTCCAGAGAGTACTTTTTTTTTACAGTGTAGTTCAATCCCATGTCGTCTTCTTTTATAAAGAAACGCCGCTAAGAACGATGACGCTATATGTCGCAATATTAGATAACGTTCTGAGCGGTAAAATAGCGACATACAGCAGAAATTGGCGTTATGATCCGCTATGCTTTTACGCCAAATAACGTATTTGCTACAATGAAATTTTCTTTAAAACCATTGATCAGAAAATACATTGATTTATAGTTTGAGTATGTTTTTTTTTCGTTTATTGTATAATATATATGTTCTGATATTATGCGTGTGACTTCGAAATAAATCTAATAATTGGTTTGAATCGCCAGCAGTCAAAATATCAACGTCTCTGTCAACTGATTGTCCTTTTCTGTGTTGGTTGTTTTATTGCAGCTTACAACACGAGACTGATGATCAATCATCACATTAGTATCCATAAAACTTCTGCATTGTTCAAAACGAATTGTAAAAATTATGGACTGTTTTCTACTTATATATTATTTCAATTGATGTTGTCATTGATCCAAAAACTATAAATAGCGAAAGTATGGCACATGCCCATTTAAAAATATTTTCCATTGAATAGGACAATCTTACAATTAAATATCAACAAAACAAACAATTTTCATCCAATAAAACATGATTATATCAAATTTCCTACTAATTTTCCAGTTTCATATCGTTTGTTGCATAAAACTAAGAATCTTTTTTATATCTCTAATTGGAAAGTAATTGTGATTCTGTCACTTTCAATTACTCCACCACCACAATTTTTATTTATTTATGAAACGTTTAATTGATAGATCCTTCTACATAATCACCTCTCTTCTTCATTTTTTCATAATAAAGCATAAGATAACCAAAATGACACGGATACAGTTCTTCGTACATGTATTTCTTTATCTTTTTTTCTCATAAAAAATGATACGGAAGATGAACTTTCACTTATTTCGTCTGGTGTTATCGTCTTTTTTTCTTCCTCTGTGCCAGTGCTGTAAGAAAAAAAAGAAAAGAAATATATTTGTCAACGACTGTATATTCTCATTTTGTTGTCTGATTCACCTTTAGTCAAAGGTCAATGATTGATGTACAAGAAAATACAAGTAACAAGTGAATGGTAATGATCATCACTGATGAGAACATGAATGATTTTTTTTAATAAGTGATTTTCGTTTGGAAGAAAACTATCATGTGTGAACAATGTAAATTAAAGATACATAGTTGCTGAACATTTTCGATGTTTCGGACTTCCTTCAGTTATTATCACAAAAACTCCATGTGCCGTAGTAATACTACATTCATATATACTCTGTTATTTTCCATGTTCCTTTTTATTGTAGATATAGTTTTCTTCATAAAAGCGAGACGTTATTGATGCTAATCGTAATGACTTTGTATGTGATGCGGTAAGTGTATAATTCATTCTTCTACTATTTTATGTTGTGAATTTAGATGTTCACATCAACTGACGTGGATTCAATTATCAATTCATTAAAGTTGTATTAATGGAAGAACAACTCAATTATATAATTATAATTATGACAGTAGTCTTTATACTGGAACAGGTTTGGTAGTAAATCTGGTTTCTACAACAGATCGCAACTTAAATCAATTCATAAAGGTAATCTTTCAGCTTTTCGAATGTTTTTACAATTATAATTCCATATTTTTCAGAAGATGCTTCATGCGAACTTGGATTAACTAATGGTTAATCGGAGCCACTATGTAATGATCACTTTCACTACCTATTTTCTAGTTAAACAACGATTGACGATTCGTACAATAAAATCTTTAAAATACAACGAGTCTTATTTTTAGACGATTTATCTTGTTACGTTATTTTTTTTGTATATGTATTTTCTTTTGAAAACCATTGTTTTTTGTTTGCGTACTACACTATTTTATCTTTGGATAACGTGTAACATTTACGAGAGTTGCTATTTATTTGTAATTTCTTGTAGAATGAAATAAAAGTTCGAAAGTATTGTCTATGTTGAACGTATCTGCAAGTGCACCTGAAAATATAACCAGTAGAATTTACTAAGAAGATTGATGTATTTAAGTATCCAAATATTTCACAATGTCCCGATATAGCGCGTTATATTGGTCTACATCATCGTAATATCGCGCTATATCGGGCATAGCGGAGCGCTAAAAGGGATCACAGTGCGATCGCAATAACGGCGCTATAACGCTGCTATTGAATCGTGATCGACGACATGGGATCTATCCTTTCAATTAGAAGAGGAATCAGAAAATAACTGTGTAAACACTATAAAATGATTTTATTAAACCGAAATGCTTTACAGTCATGAATAATTTGAGCTCTATTTTACAATTATAAAGGACATTTCAGAATGTTCTGATTGAATATTCTACAATGATCATCATACAGAAATTTGTACGAGCTATTGTTTGTTTGTTTTTCTTTATTTACGAAAAGTATTATTCCATAATTTACAATATTACCAGTATCCATAAATCGTCCATCTATTGTTGTTTCTATAACATACTATTTAAACATAAACTGTTTAATAGTTTTCGATACTGAATTTTCACATTAATGATATTCACCATCCAAATATAATGTTGAACATTCTTTTTCTATAAGATGAACAATTTAAAGCAGCCTTTACGTATGAATCTTCAAATGATATTATTTTTCGATTCTCTCTTCAGATAAATAAGATATTGACACGTTTTAAAGTTCGTTTTGCTTATTTTAATAGTTTAATCTGGATAATGTAAGACAATGTGAAGTTTTATGATCTATAAAGATCAAGTAAAAACTTGTATTTTGTTTTAATTTTAACATTAGACATTTTCCATCATCAATAAATATTTATATTATAAACAAAAATATGATGACAAGAATGACAAAATCATGTTTGCAGATAAAATACACATCATCAAATGCATTCATATTAGATCTAATTTTTTTTTTTTTTTTATCAAGCTTGTGTGATAAAATATTATTTTAGTTGATGTACAAGTCATCTGTTAAACGAAAATCAATCCTAAAATCATCATGATCATGAGTAAAATAGATCTAATAAATCGTGAACTATGATTCAATTGTCCATCTAATGTTATTGTAACATTGTATTTAAACATAATTTCTTGAAGAGCATTTAATGTTGAATGATCATTACATAACGATCGATTACATTGAACAACAAATATAGCATGATTATTCAATTGATATATACTGCCAATTGGTCGAGTATTGAATTTTCTATTGAAGCATGAACGATTTAGTTTATTTTAATATATTCTATGTGATATAATACGTATACCAGGTTTAGTTAATGTACTACATTAACGTACATTTTCGTTTGAATTATAACAATTGAAATCAGAATTATTCGGTGTTGAATGAGGACTTGTAATTAAAGGTGTAAGTTCATTCTGAATATCATTAATATTATATTGTCGTAGTAAAAATTCATTTACTAAATTTTTCGCTAATTCTCGAGCACGATCGTCTTTATTTTTATATGCACCATCAATCTTATAAGTAAAATAAGATGGTATAGTTAATAAATCTAAGTAGACATGTCGTACATTATGTACACTAAAAATATAACTTGATGAATCGGCTTGAAAATTAACCGTATATTCTTGAGTATTATTAAGTCAAATGATATGAAGAATTGTTCTAAGAAATTATCTTGCCTGAATTGAGGTTGAATGTGTAATCGATCTCTTTTATGTGAAAACGTTGAATAATACAACATAGTCAAATTATTTGTTCTGCCTGGTCGCAATGTTCCTTTTGATATTTCTGGTGAATTTTGGCCTGCAAATCACTAGACAATCCTACACAATTGTTAAGTACGCTGTTAATCGATTTTGCCGAGGACCGAGAATCGTTGAATTCGAGACAAGTAACTTTGTCCGATGACTTCTCTATTTGTGAAGTGGAAAGAATACTGCTGTTGCTAGAATCTCGGGTAACGACTGATTCATGGTTGCTACATTTGATATGTAATTGTGTCCAAATGAGAATAAAACGAACACCTTTGCAATTAATACACAGAACACAGCCATGAGTGAGATATTGTGAACAATTAATTGTTAACTTTTCCAAGCACGTCGTACACGTATAGAAGTATCTACACTTGCACTTCGAACAGTTCTGATATTGACAACACTCAACTGATCCTTTTTGATGACATATGTCACAATCGACAGTACCAAAATCTGAGCATTTTAGACATTTGATTTCTCCGAGACATTGACACTTCGAACATCGATCTCGAGTTGGATTTCTCTCAGATCACGAACGGATTGTTCAAATCCTGCCTGACCAAATGTCGTTTTAGTTGGTTGATCGAATTGATAATCTCCTCAAATGTTGCCAAGTGGACGTTGGGGTGAAGGTTCATCACTGTGACATGAAGCTGTAGCTTCTGATGTCAAACGAATTTCGTTCAACGTCTACAAATGAACAATATAACCAGATATTTGTTGTTTGTTGAAAATATGTGCCCGAGTTCATGGTCGAAGATCAAAACACCATACCAAATGTTCATTTTGAATAGCCTGCTTATCCCCTAGAGAATGTACTGAGTTAAGGGTACCCGAAAAAGTACCCTGTTATCAGTATCTTACAGGAACTTTTGGGTACCAAAATACTTGTAAGTACTTACAAGTACCCTGCTACAAAATGTGTAGTAACTCGGTACTTGAAGGTACTGATCAGATACTCAATTGAGTACTATTGTATAGTATTTCTAGGTACACTGTTACCAAAATTTCAGTATGTTCGAGATCGAACCTGATCTTTAATTCTTTTAAAATTTTTGTTTCTCTGAAAACAGTTCACTACTTTGCTTTCGATTTTATTCAATTTAATTTTTCAATTCCGAAAACTTAGCAGGTACAATATCGGGATCTGACCCGACTTGAATTGGCCGAATATCCATCAGACCATTTCAGAGTAGTCTGCTCTTAATCTACGATCAAGATTAGCATGTTATCGACTAAGAGATAGTCAAGAAATAATCTAGAAAAAATTAGTATGAAAACAGATTCATTTCTTATATTTTGCTCAGTTGATTATATGGAGCCGTCCGTGAAAAAGAAAACGGTGAATGAATAGTCACTACACAGAACGCGATAAATATAAAGTATCCTGTACTGCTTTCTTCAGTAAAATTACAGATGCAAGTACACACACGAGTACTTGTCCAGTGAGCTTACTTTTATGGGAACCATACGCAGTACCTACATCAGTATTATTACTAAGAATTGTCGAAGTGCCCATATTGGGTATCCTGCTAGGGCTTTCTCATTACAGGGGTACCCTGAACTCAGTACTTTCTCTAGCGCCTACATATATACCGTATCTTGTAAAACTTCGAAATGCTAATCAATATCTGCTGTTTTCCAGAGATGATCCTTATTTGTTTTCGAGCAGCTGCCTAATTCGAGTTCGAATATAAATGGAGAAAAGAAAAACTAAAACTACTCGATAAATTTAGGAATAGATTTAGTTTTAGTTTAACTTTCTGATATATGCGACATATAAA